GAACCAATGAATATATGCAGTACATGGCCCTGTACCTGTCTGCAGATGAAACAGAGCAATGCCAGCCTAGTATTTATGTTTTCTTTACATCTTCACAGCTCCCACTTGCCCTTTCTGCATTTGTTGACTACAAGAGTAGAAGGCTACAGCAGCAACACTTTGAGATGCCATAGCTATGCAGTCCCACATTTTCCAATAGCTGAAAATTATGTCAAATAAACCACACAAAGACAAAGCGTTTTTTTTTCTACATAATTGCTTCTCAATTTTTATGAAAGCAGACTGGTGTGAGATATGATATATTAAAATACTAGAAATCAGTTTCCTTTATTTTGGCTGGAACAAAGCACTCAAAAATTTCAGCCGTGCTTTGCCCAGCACTTAGCACAGTCTGTACGACCATCAGTTATCAGCAAGATTACCAAGCTGCACTCTTTCTCACTCCAGTATGTTTTACCTATCAACAATAAACACTATGATTTAGTATCTCCTGGCCTAGGAACTCCATGACAAAATACTAAATATCATCTTACTCACGGCTCGCATAAAATTTTCATAAACACATTCCTACATATTTTGTAATTGGCACCATGCCTGATTCTGTTCTTTCAGTGTTACCCTTGCATGTCTAGGGATCTGAATGAAAACTTGAGAAATTACCTTAATTTTTACAGTAAATAATTAGCAAGTGTGCCCAAACATTTATGCATATGCACACTCATATGCACACATTCTCTCATACTATATTTGGTAAGACCAAATCAAAATACCATAAATCATCATTATCTTCAACCAGGATGTTTTACATATGTTGTTTGTTCTCTTTCCACAGAACAGTAGTGCTAAATGTCATAGGAGCAAAACCAACTCCCACACAACTTCAGATAAACACTGTAGCTCTCTGAATTTCTTGGGAAGATTGAAGGAAACAGCTCAGCAAGGTTTGCACTCTAACAGCTGCATGAAGGAGAGAAAAAAACAACCCTTCCCCGCCCCTCCCAAGGAAAACTATCAGGTGATGTTTTTCTGAGCCTTGGAAATCCTTCCTCTATGTAAATTAGGCATTTATCACAGTGTTATATCATGATAAATTGCTTTTCTGAGCTTTTTATTACAAGAGTAGAAAATGATATCAGAATAACAAACTTCATAAACGCTGACAAGTGTTTGTCTACAACAGTAATTCAATTTTTTTTTTAAATTTTAACTAGATAAGTTAAAATAAATCATTAAGAATAACCTGCATGCCAGTCTAGCATTCATCATTATTTCGAGTTTCATATTTCTATCACCAAAGTAAGCATATTCCTTTCTTCTCCTGCTATCCTAGTTTTCAATATGCCATAAGACAGCAAAGAAACACCTGATGCAACTTTATTGGCTTTAACCATCTGATCCATTGTGATTTTTGGGGTTAATTTCTATGCTAAGACGTTAATAATAACAATCCAAAGCGAACAGAAGCATTCTCTTAAACTCCACAAACATATGAATCATTAAACAAACATCTTCTCTGAATAAGGCACAGCCCAGCAGGGCTGCTACACATCCATGCTTCCTTCAACATTAACATTTTAATAGGTGATGACTGATCTTAGCATTAGGAATTCATACATATGCAGGCTACACGGTAGTGAGCAGCCTCCACTGCACACGAAAAGTGAACATGGTTTTTCAAAGCAAAATTCTCTCTTGACTCTTTTCTTGGGAAATTAGACAAAGAAAATTTTTAATCAGTCTCAGTGGTGGTGTCTACTCCAGAAAGTATGACAACCCAAACCTAACCAGGATGTCATATGCCAAACTAAAAGACAAGAGTGTTAAAAGAAACAGAGGGGGAATAAAAAGAAGTTTTCCATGAGCAGAAAGCTTTAAAAAACTCTAACCTCATCGCCCTCTTCCCCCAAAACAACCAAAAAACCCTATTAAAAACCCCACCTTACATGACACACACATGTCCATAAATTGAAACAGCTTTTGAACAAACACATTAATGCCTCATTTCCAAGTTCTTTTTATTAAGGTATAGGGGGGAAGCAAACAAGAACAGATCTGAATTCTGTAAGCCACTGCCAGAAAACACACTGGGGCACAGTTTTATTCTGCCTACTCATCTCGCTCATCTTTATCTATGACCCCCTGAAGGCAGGCATTTGAAGACATGCTCAATTAATCCAATTAGCTATATTTACATTTTGACTCAGCCACCTACATCTGCTGTGGCAGATACCCTAGTATTCCCTCCTGTGAAATCCACTTTATTTTCTTTTAAGTTTGCTCTAACAGCCTGTAGCTTTTCAGCTGTTGGGCACAGGTGGCTCCTAGCATGTCTTAAATACTATCTCCAATTCACTTTACTATTGCCTTGCAACAACTTGTGTGAGCAGAATTCAGCACAAGTACTTACAGAATACCAGCAAGTTCAAAAATCTTAGAAAACAGTAGGAAAGAACTTAACTTTATTCTGCCTTAAGAAGGAGTTAACAGGACAAAAAAGTTAAGTGCCTACAGTGCTTAGAATTTCCACAAAGCAAGGACTGCAAAATTATTTGGGATTGTGGCTCTCAATATTCACAAAGAAAATATACAGAGAAAAACATAATGTGGGAACTACTACTTCTAAAAATCTCTTGATAATGAAAGCAAGAGGAAAGTGTGGTTATTATTCATAACTATAAAAGCAAGACAAGTCTATGGTACCCCTGCAAGGGCACCATGCAAAACGACAGGGTTCTAAAACCCCACCCTACACACAGTCATTTTTCTTTTAACACAAATCAAGTTAAACTAGTGGCTCACCCGCATATCAATAGTGAATTTAAAACCTAACTTTTAATTGCTAACATGTAAATATTACTCTGCTTTAATTATACCAGTATAATAAAAATCACGGTGCTGTTTACTTTGGAACTTTTCCAGCTGCTGGCCAAACATGTCTGTTAAAATTTTCCCTTCTTCCAACCCCCGCAGTGGTAAATTTAGCAGCTGTAACAACAGCTGGGCAGCTTTGCAACTGTAAAAGTCAGATGCCAATTTCTAGAAAAGAGCTTTCTAGTAAAAGAAAATAGGGTCTGTAGCAAGTGTTCGTGGACTCCCCAGCTATAAGATTTTACTCAGTAACTTGGCACCAGCTGGAGAGCTGACACACTGTGCTTCTGCTGAACTCACCAGGAAGATTTCAGATCCTGTCTCTCATTCAGTTTTGACAGGGAAAGGTCATTTTGCTGTTAAGGAAAAAACAATGTTCTGCCGTGTTACTTAGCTAATTATTTATGTTGGTTCATGTGCTCTTTTTAGTATTAACACTTTTTAAAAGGAAGGGTTTATTATCAGACATTATTTAGAAATGCATTTAGTTTGTATTGTATCACCAAGATAAAACTGACTCTAAAGTCTGTGTATTTTATGCACAGATCACACCATTTGAAACAGAACTTATGAAAGTAAGCCCTCTTGTACCAAAACCCTATCATGGTAGTGGTTTTAGTCATCAGAAAAGGAGGAGAGCAAAAAATCCCAAACTTGCTCATAGTGGTCCTTAGGGGTCCTCTTAGCTTTCCCAAGTAATTCACAATTGGCATGTATTAGAGGAGTTTAAAAATGTCTCTAAATATTTTAGGGAGCTCAATTTATTAGGATAAGAATATTTGCAGCTTCTGTTGACTTTAATTGCAGCTGTGAACATTAGGCTGTTCACAATATGCAGCCCACTTATTTCAGCATCTAACTATAGGTTGTGCACCAGCACAGAAGAATTGCTAACTGAAAACAGTGCTCATGGTGCCAAAGTTAAAACTGAATACTAGAAAGAATCAAATGCTGCTTCTTTCATTTGCTCTCTTTATCTTCCTCTTCTTCATCTCCACAACTCAGGGAGAGTTGTACAAAATGGTTCAGCCTATAAAGTAGCAGAGAGAAACATGCAAGGAAAACTCCTTCTGGAAAAAAAAGATAACATAAGAGCATTATCAACATTATCAAACTAAATCAACAGACCTTCCTGGGAACAAAACAGGCAGAGATGCCAGGGAATGCAATGGAGAAATGAAGTTGTTAAAAAAAAAAAAAGTTTTAATTACATTTGAAGTACCATATACTGTTTTACTACAGGGACTAACATACCCTGCAAATAAGTACAGCAGTGACAGAAAAATATATGAAAAAAAGTCGGGAAAGATTTTATGACTTGAACACAACCATGCCAGGTTTTACTGTTTCAAAAACAGTCTTAAGAATTTCAAAGCAGAAACAGGCTATGACCAGTTGATTGCAGAAAAAAAGAAATTACTTAAACCATGTCTTACCATAGGTACAATAATTGATTGTGAAGGTATGAAAATGCAATACTCTGAAGGCCCACTCAGAGCAGCCCCTGTCTTATTGCAAATGTGCTGGCAAGGCACATGTTCTACTTCATGACACACAGGGTAATGATCTGTTACAAGCGGTAATTGTTCCTGCACATGTACAAAAGCATATTGTGCTGTGTCCCCAGGAAGACAGCGTGTGCTAGAAAGAGCAAAACCTACAGCTGAACACTGTGAGCCTTAACAGGAACTGTAAGAAAGAGGATGAAGAAATTAGTACTTACCACCTGCACATTACTAATACAAAAATGAGTTCCCTGTGGCAAGAGAAGTATTCATAAATGCTAGTCTCACCATATTCTCACATAATGCAATAGTTTTCAAGCCTTTTGATCCTGCACCCCAACACTAAAAACAATTTTGAGCGTGCACCCCCGTATATATATGTTTATTTATTTATAAATCATACACATGCATGACAGAAGTTCTAGTGTTTTCTTCCTGCACATTGATGAGTCATCTCACACCCATCACTTTTGGAGACCACTGCTGTAATAAACAGAAGAACAAATGCCAGCAAAACAAGCATCTGCCCCAGGTATTTGATGTGAATATCCATGCCAAAATCCTGTGGGCTCTGAGCTGGCTACTGTAGCTAAGCTCTTCCTAATAGAAATGAAAAATCAGTCTTACCAGTGGTGGTGGTGGTGGTGGAGGGGGCCCTCCAGAAGGTGGTGGTGGAGGAGGCCCTCCAGAGGGTGGTAGAGGTGGTGGAGGAGGTGGTGGTGGCGGCGGCGGCACAGGCATCCGTTCAGATTTCTAGCTTCACACGACTAGGAAAAGTATAGCCAAAGTCTATGTCCTTGAGGAGAAGGAAGGGAGGAGAAAGAAAAGGGGGAAGAATAAAAAGAAAAAAACAAAGAGGAATGTGTTTATACACTGCAAGCTGAAGATCGGCCAAATATCTAGCTCTCTGCAGACTGAAGACTTTTATACTGCACTGCTTCCAAAACTACAGTACGAACAGCCTCATTATAGTTATCTGATGACAACATTCATCTAAAGAGCAAGCTCATAGATCTGGACAAGTGCCATGAGTACCAAATGCATAGATGCCAGCCTGTCCAACTTTAACTATTATGTCTTGCCTTAATCTGGCCCATGGCCCTGAAATGCAATTCCACACAGAACAAATCCCAGTCGACCACATGTAGACACCCCTGCAGGAACAAAAACTCTGTTGACTTTTACGTCAGAGGTTTGCTGCTCTAACTACAGAATAAGGAAATCTATAAGGTTCAATGGACTTGCTCAGTGATTAAAGAAAAAGAAAAAAAAGAGGGACTCCCCCCCAATGATTGAACAATAAATGAAGAAATTATTCTACAAATGAAAGCTTCCATTGTCACATGTAAGGACCAGATATTTCAAATATTAAAATCACCTGTGTTTTCTTGCCATTTTCAGATGTTGACTTTTCACAATTCTTTAGTAATACACCGACAAAAAAGACACATATATTCATAAAAAAGCTGTATGCTTTTTTTTTTTTTTAAATCTCCTGCAGAATGACAGCACATTACTCACTGATTTTCATCTCCAACCCAGCCTGTCTTAGTCATCTGTAAAGTTAACAAGCAACTCCTGTATTTCATCAGTAAAGTTGCAAGTGAAAGTCCTAGGCAGTGCCAGAGAGCCCTCTGCAAGCCTTACTTGGTAAATTTTTTTGCTAGCGACTCTTGGATAAAAGCTTTGAATATGGTTTTACATATAGTTTTACACCCATTGTTTCTACTAGCTTCTGAGACTCTTCACAATGTCATGTGAAACAGTGTCAAAAGCCCTACAATAATGCAAAATATGACATCTGCTATATCTTTCTTTTCTGCAGGGCTTTATCTTAACAAGAAATTACATTGGTTTGACAGATTTGCTCTTTACACATCTCCACAGATTAGAATTAATTTTCCCGTCTTCTCCAAGGATTTAAAAACATTTTTCTCATTTTGATGTTTTACTGGAAATTGATGTTAAGTTGAAAGGACCATAATTCCCAGGCCCTATTCCCCTCGTTTCTCCTTTCATTTTTTAAAGCATGCACTTCATGCTTATCCAGAATCACCAGTATAAGGAGGAGGTACGAAAGTTAAATCTGGAAAAGTTCAGCAGGGAAGACAACATAGAAATGAGGCAATGCAGTCTTTAGGAGAATACCTGGCTGTTTTGTTAGAGGGATAGTTTGGAAGAGGCAATGAAGCTAAAATGTTCACTTCCTACTTAGTGTATGTGAACAATATCCAGATAATACCTGAATATTTTCCTTCTGTTGTATCTTGTAAAATACTTTGTGGGAGATTAAACATGCGGAGCCTCTGAAACACTCGATTCCTCCCTTGAGAGATTGCTATGCAAGGGACTCACATATCAAAGCACCCTGATCTGGAACAGAATTGGTTACAATCGCTTTAATAATTGCTTAAGGAAACATTCCAAGAAAGCTGGCATCACAGTGTCTCCACCGTTCCACCATCATGGTAGCCCTATTCAAAAATCCATTAACAGAAGATATCTCTTTTCCTCAATTAAGCCATTCAAAAACAGACATAAGGAGAATGAGTCTTCCCAGCTAATAATATGTTTCGGGTTAGTATCTTCCTACCCTGCAATACAGGCCTTTTGTCTTCATTAAGGATTTAGAATGGGAAATATGCTCCTAGTCAAATCAGAAAAAAAAAATGCAACCCACGCTTCTGTGGCAGACCACATGCATGGCAGCAGGAGGTAAAGCACACTGGAGGCAAGCAGCAGTGAGAGAAAGGAAATGGGAAACAGCTCCTGGTGTTTAGAAGTCACAATCTGAAATGCCATCAGGTGACTTTTCTAGCTGCCTCTCCACCAGTCCTTGCCCCAGCAGCCATTCCTCCAAACGATGCAGCCTAAATTCCAGGACTAGAAACTGTGTGACCACCTACAACCCAATATTCAGTGCAGAGGAAGTGTTCAGCATGTATCCCACTCCCATATCCTGAATCCTCCTGTCCAGTGACAGCAGGAAAAAAATGCATTTCAGGGGGCAGTAAAATCAGCCCATGAATGGAATGCTGTAGACACCGTAGAGATTTCTTCCCATGCTGCTTCATATCCTCTAAAAATGAACCATCTTTCAGAAAATTCTGCATATGTGCCTTCTTCTGTCTCTTACCACAAATTCAGAGGCTTGATGTCCTGACCTTGGCGTGCTTTTGTGCCCACAGCAAAATTCGTGCTTTTTATACCACAACTATTACAGGGTATTGCCTACACAATGAAGAACCATCTTGCACATAAGGGCTTTCTTTGTTCAAGTGGGCTTTGAAAGTAGTGCTGCTACTCTCAGAAGTAGACACTGTATGTCAATAAAGGCAGGCATCTTCAAGCTAACTTACAAGAATAAAACAACAGGCTCTTAGGATTTAGTCATAACTGCACGATCTACACTTTTTAATACGTAGGATTGGCTATGAGAACATATTTTGTATTACTGCAGCTATCTCGAGTGGTTTGTATTGAAAGAAAATTATGGAGAAGACTGCAACACTTTCAATATATCAACACACATTACTTGGAGGCTTTTGTTCCTTGGTTAAAGGCTGTATTTCATTTGCCTCTCCCCTCATTCTGTTGGCAATTTCACACAATAACTTTAGAACATGCTGAGGATACGGATTTGCACATTATAAACTAAATAAATTCTGAATTAAAACCAAGAAAGGAATATTACATTGATCAGTTCTAATGTCTTATAAGAGCCAGAGAAGAGGGAAATGCCACAAAACATCCTTAAGGCAGTGTGCTCTTTCTCCACTGCTCCAAATATATATATATTTATAATTGGAAGAGCAGGATCCGAACTATCTTTGAGGGACAGAAATAAAAAGATATAGTTTCAAAAGCTGGCAATAGGTGGAAGGGAGAAACCTATGTGTTTAGCCTCAGTTTTCTAAGACAAGAAGCAATGTAAATCTTGGCTTGACTTAAACACCATAGAACAGAATCAGGCCCAACAATTACAGAATTTATTGCAAAAAAAGAAGAAAATCCCAAACCCTGCCTTTTCTAGTCCACCTCCCCAAAAAAGCAAGGTTGTGCACTTTTTTTAGTGCTTTCTGAAGTCTAATTTTAGGTGTCCCAAATAATGTGGCTTATATTATTTCCCTTGGGAAGCTCTTTCACAGTCAAATAATTCTTAGTTCATAATGCCTGACACACAGCCTAATTTCTTTTTCTCTCAGTTTGAACCCATTTGCACTCCACTGCAGATGATTCTACCTTGTTCCAGGCAAATAGTTTCTCCTACCCCTCAGCATCAGCTTTGTAGAATGTAAGATTTGTAATTCAGAAATACATTTACAAGGACTTGTTACAGTTTTTGAGGTGTTTTACTTCTCACAAGTCAGTGAACTTCTCACCAGTCAGCAAACATTCTTACTATTCCCTGATCTCAAAACAGTTGGTCTTCTTTAGTTCTATTGGTAAGGATAATTCTAAAACCGGTAATTTCAGGTGTCACAAACTGTTCCTTGCATGTTCACCCACTCCTTGCTTGAATAACAGCTGGGCTTAAGAACCACAGTGCAGTCCTCAATGTAGAACTCAAGCTCCAGACTTCTATAGGCCCAAATAAAGTCTTCCACCCAGACTTTAATTTTGAAGGGTGAGACAAGACATAGGAGGGGCAGATCTTTCTTCATGGACTGCTCTGTCAAGTCTTGTGCTGGATTTGCCTGTGTGAAACAAAAAAACTCTGTCTAAGCTTTTCTGTAGATGTGGTCTCACTTTGCCCAGCTACCAGACATACAAAAGCTCTGACCCAAGCACTTCTCAAAGGTCTCCTCCTGAAGTGTCACTGCCACAACCCCAGCCCTGGGCTCACACTAAGTCCTGCTGGGAGCACAGAACCACACTAAGAAACACTGCTTTTTGGACAGCAGCTGACATGTCCCTTGCCACAGCATCCCTCAGCAGAACCACCATAGATCTGCCTGCAAAAACTATTCTAAAATACCTCTACCCATCATGGAAAGTGAAGGCATGAAACAGCTGTATCTTCATTTTATTACAATGGGGAAAAGACAGAGGAAAAAAATAAATCCCAGTTAATACACAAAAATTAAACAAAAATGCACACATTTATACACAAAATTAACTCTTAATTAGAAGCATTTTTTAAATTACTCAAATCCTCAGGTGTTTAGGTGGTATAGTCAGTAGCACAAAACAACACAATTGGAACTGTGGAAATGGGACCCTTTTAATCAATTTAGAGAAAGGACTGCAAAATAATTCATTCATTATTACTGGATTTGCAATCACTGCAGCTGAGCACTCTGAGGTAGGTAATACAGCTTTGGGGAAATGTACATGTGAAAAATTACATGTGAAAAACCAGCATCAATAAGCATCTGCTTCACTTTCATGACCTGAAAAGCAGACAACTAGCCTGTGTCCCCATTTGCTCCTGTGAAACATCACTGAGGAATAGCTGAAATCACTGTTATGAGTACTCCATAGACCTTTTAAAGACAGTACAACACCTGATACAGAGAAGAGAAAAAACCCAGAACAATAGATGTGTGTTACACAGATCAATTTTCCTGCTGTCGTGTCTGGATAAAGACTGGAAATGTCTTGGATAAAGCTTCTGTTTGGAATGAGCCGGTTTAGACTGTAATTATAACAGAAACAAACCATTTAATTTTTAAGCATTGGATGGTACATTTTTTTTTCTTCTTTTTAGAGTGTGAATGACTTTTTGTGTGTAGAGAACTGAATGAGGAAGAATCAATACTCCCAATATCCTGTCTCTGTTTCGCCCTGCAAAGA